AGGTAAGTGTAGTGACTGCAAAGTAGATTAAAAGATTGCCTGATACAATAGATAGCATGCAGTTAGTTGTAATCCAATGCATTTATTTTTGAGATCTTGGCTCTCATGACTTCACTACTGTAATACAATGCCATTATTTCTGTTGTTATTTCTGCAGTTCTCAGTAAAACAATTTTGTGAACAGTTCTCCAGGCTTTTAAAATATTTTACCAAAACTTTATAAAAATAGTTTATTTTTTCACTGTTGATTCATAGTTATGCACATGACTCTCCATACCATAAACTTCATTTAGAGTGACCGTAGAAATAAGGCAGAAAAAAGCAATCTGGGAAAAGGAGTTCCCTTGTTTCATATGATGATGCTCTATTGGACATTGGAAATTGATGCCTCAACTTACCATTCTGTAATCCATTGTGGTAAGTAAGTAAATGTATAGCTTTCTGTATCGTATAGAATCTGATGAGTTTGAAATTCTCTGCATTCAGATTATTATTTAATTTTTTAGTGATGTGTCTGTAGTATTGTGGTGAGTTGAAAATTGAGTTCTCCAAGACTACTGCTTGGGTTTCTTAAATACTGTTTTTATCATGACATTGATTCTGAAATCAAATGATAGTGACTATTGCATTTCTACATTCCTTTTAATGATTTTCTAACTTAATGTTAACAAAGTAAGAAGTGTATGGCAAGAGAAATTGCAAAGTGGAAAAAATCTAATTATCTAGTCAAAGCAATAGTTATTTGGCTAGATTTTCCTGTAACTTGACTATGTATACTCTATCAATTGGATACTCTCAAAATTGTCACGCACTGTGGATCTCAGTGCAGTATTAATACTGGTGGTAGGAATAACTCACATCATTCCAAGTGATCTGTTTTTTCACTACAAGGTCATCAGATACATCTTGGTAAAATGTGGTTAGAACTGTTATATTGACTTTCTCACTTACTTTAAAAAGTGTGATATGTTCTCCATATGTTTTATGATCCCAAGCTTAAGAACTAGCCTGAGACTTTGTTTTTCCTAAGGGCAGTGCTTTTATGAAGGTGTGCCATAAAAACATGCAGGTGCTAGCAACCTGCCCAAATGGTTCCCATTAAATCTGCTTGGAGGTGATGACATTTCAAATGCCACAACATCTCTCAGAGCAGCTAATTGCGTTAAATTCTAAAATAACTGTACAATTTGTACTGTACACTCAGATGTCTTGGAATTATCGATCACTGAAACAAACGTGAAATCACGACAGCATGTAGATTCTAAAGTGATATACCTGCTCAGAACCAAGGAGATAACCTAGGAGGTAAATTGATTGCATTTAGAAGCAATCAAAAAGATAGGTAAGTTTCAGCTTCTGTTAGTAATACGGGTTAGTTCAGCTCATTAGGCTAATTCTAAGGAACAAAAACTTACAAATTCTCCCTTTACTGTTTTCAGAATCTTTCAAACTTATAGATATTAATCAAAATGTTCTAAACAGGATCTAAATCTGTTTAGGAGGATTACTGACAACCGTACACAAAGTGTCATGTTGATGATCACAATCCTCCCACTAACAGAGAGCAAAAATGTTAGGTGACAAAAGCAGAATTTTAAAAAATGGGCTAGAAGGATATGACTGTAATCATGATGACATATCCCATGAATAAATGTCAAGTCTTGGGAACGGTCCAAACAGCAACTTCCAAAATATAGAACCGGAAGACATGATATGCCCGTAAGTTCTCTGTAAAGTTAAAATGCATGGTGTTATTGATAACCCAATATGAGCTTGAAGTAAATTAATTTTCCATTCATAAGAAAGATAACTCTATCCTTCCATGGTCTGTACTGATCAGGCACACCTAGAATATTACATTCAGTTTTGAGCACCAGATTTCAAGAGTGATATTCACAGCTGGAGTGTGTCCAGAGAAGGGTGAAGGAATCAGGGATCCTGGTCACATAACAACCAACCAAAGAAATTTGGACTACCCAGATTGACAAAGAGAAGTCACAGGAGGAGCCTAAGAGCTATATCCAAATGTCTGAGCATGATAGATAGATAGATAGATAGATAGATAGATAGATAGATAGATAGATAGATGTGTATTTACATATATTTACATATATTGATACAAGATAGATTAGATCTGGACCAGATGATTCAACAGATGAGAAATAAGAGTAATTGAATATAAAATGTAGAGGACTATACTTTCAACATAAAAAAGTATTTCCTTTGCTACTTATTATCAGTAAAGCGGTTAACATGTTCAGTGCTGCTTGTGAGTGAACAGAGCCCATCCTGGCATTACTATGGCATTACTGCATATGTGGCATTGCTACCCACCTGGCATTTCTGTGATAGGAATGTGGTTAAATGAAAGTAGGGTGGAATGAGTCATTTTAAGGTCTAGTATAGTCTGAGAAATTCTTTGAATCCATGAATGGTCAGTGTTTCAGAAAAGTATAAAGTGTAAACTGGGGAAAAAAGAAGAAATAACACCATTACAAATTTGATCCAGTTATTTTACTGTTTTCACAATAACTAAAATGTTAATTTTCATTTTTAGCGAGAACCTTCTTTGTCAGTAAATAAGTTTTTCTTTCAAAACTTTCAGTCATCTGTTATTCTCAGCTGGATATTTAAAGTGAATTAGGGCACATGTTCAAAAATACAAATCTGAAATTGAAAATCAAGTATTAAAAACATAAGCAAAACTGTTTTAACTTTGCTTTAAAAACAAAAAGAAGAAGAAGCAGAGACTGAAAATCTTGAGAAGGCTTTGTATCATAAAGTATAAGAAACACAGCTGGCATTGGGACAAGCAGTCAGGGCACCTGGCATTTCATGATGCTGTTGGAAATGCAGCTCATTCAGTATAAGGCAGTTGAGTTGTCTTCACGTACTTTGGTTTAGAGCTATGTTTTGGAGTGCCTGATGTTCTTCTAAAACACTTTTGAAATTGATTGTATCAACTGTGAACACCTTGACTTGAAAGCACACCACTGGCCTATTAATGTGTGTACTTGATAAATCGACGATGTCTTTGTATTCTCAAACTTAAAATAACACATGACTAGACTGCCATCTCAAAGTGCAATGTGTCTACATTCTTAAACGTCATTTGTGATGCGGCTGGAAGAGATTCCGGGATCCGAAATCCCAGATGAGAAGGTCTGCATTTGAAACATTTTACACAGGCTTTTTCTGCTTGGAATACAATAATGTCTACGGCAAAACCAATGACACAGGCAATAGAGGAGTTCGCTGTCTTGGATGGCATACACCCTCCCTCAAATGTGGCAATGGTAATGTTTACTTTTTCCATCATCAACCTTGTAGATCTGCCTTATCTCACTCAGCCTCATATTCCAACAATATAAAGACAAGGTTTCACAGGCAGACATTCATGAAAATCAGCAGAACATGGCTTTAGAAGTTTGTGCATTTTCAGTTCCTTCAATACCTGGGTTTCAGTGTCACCACAAAAAAAATTCTAACTAAAGGTTACAATTTGAATTCTGCTTTCTAGCTTGCCAGTATGACAGGCTAGAAATGTGCCACTAGTTACAGAATAGAGTAGATGGAAAAGTTCAAGTCATCAAGTTTGATCATTGGAGGCGGGGAGGAAATACACACTGTTGGAACAAGCCAGGCACATCATGTGAATTGTTTAGTGTTCAAGGATAGCCTATTGGGAAATACAGTTGGTAATTTGATTTTCATTCCAATTATGCTATCCGCTTTGGCGAACTTATCGATGCTCATCTCCGTCACATCCCAGAAAATGTTCTGCAGCGCTTGCCTCAAGTGGCTGGGCAGTGACTTAGGTAGCATTTCCTCAAGTATATGACCCTTTTAATGAATTGTTCCTATCTTTGAATTTATAATGCAAGATACTGCTGGACATAATGAAATTCAATGAAATTTCTCTTCCCTCTTACTGTGGGCACAGTTGAGGCTGGATGGATTGGGGAGGAGGTAGAAGGGAAACAGGTAAGCAGAAGAAAAATAGGTCAGTTTTGCTTCTCACCACCTCTGCATTATCCACTCAACTACAGATGCTCTTTCCCTTCTCTCTGCTCCACAGCCAGCCAGCACCATGAGCCAAAGCCGCCCCCTTACCGCCTCCTGCTCCCGTCAGGCCAGCCAAGTGGATAAACCCAGGGAAACAGAAGGAAGATCTTTTAGGACAAGCTGTGTTCACTATTTAGAAATAGCATTGAAATGTGCAAATTGTTTGCTCAAGAAATAGATGCAGAAATGGAAACATTGATTGTGAAAGTACTGCCCCCTAGTCAATCATTATGTTCAATATTTGGTCTTGTTTTGTTCCCTGAGTTCTCTAATACAGTTGTCGTCCTATTTGTTCTCATGCATTTTGAGTCAAAAACCACCCAAAGTCCAAAGAAATCATTAGGCCTAGGTTTTTTATTCTTATCTTTTTCTCAGACTTATTATGTAACATTGAACAAACTGGTAACCTACTTGGTACATATGTCTTTCTCAAAGTGGAATTAACAAACCACTCTTTTCTTCTAAGTTGTGATAAGACCAAGTATTTATTTTTAGTATATTTCATGAAAACAAAGTGATGAGAAATTTTTTTTTCTGTTATAAGCATAGAAGAAACAGTGGATGAGATCACAACGATGCTCATGTTTGAGGCCCATTTGCCAATTGTAGAAAAATGAAATCAAATGCCTAGAATTTTCCAAACCCAATCCAAGGCTACAACATGTTAACTTTTAGAGGTAGGATGTCATAAAAACATCCATGTTTGAAATGATTAGCCTGATTCAATCATTGCAACCTACTGTTGATTAATAGGGAAGGAAGGAAATGTAGCCCTAATTAAGTGTTCTAAGGATTCCCTTTCTCAAGTGTGCAGACCAAATCCTCACCCTGGTAGTGGGCAAAGCTATCTCCTGAGATTTGGGGCTGGGAAGAGCACATGGAGATTCAGGAAAACTGACTCAGATTTTTAATTCTTTCTTGCTGTCCCCCTACAGAGCTCTCAGCATGGCGGCTCATCTACTTCACTTGCATCCACCAAAGTCTGCAGCTCGATGGATGAGAATGATGGCCCCGGGGAAGGTGATGAACTCGGGAGTTGGTGTCTGGGGAGAAGGTTCAGCTTCTACAGGGGGCTTGGGATGGGCTGGTTAAATGGACTCAGAGAAATTGTAACTTCTTAGGCAGAACGAAATGGATAAGCCCAACTAGCTCATGAGGGTGAATAGCAAGGGGGTTGAATATGTCTTCTACTTGGATTAAATTCTACTATGGGAACTCAAAGAGGACAATTTCACATCCTCTGAGGCTGTATGTATCCTAAGAACTCTGACTGTTGCCTGGTTTGGAAATAAGAAGGCATAATTGCTGCTTTTGTTTTCACAAATTCAGTTCACTTTTAGTGTATTAAGGTCAATTTACACTCTTGAATGTTCTAGCCCTGCAGATGTGGTCTAATTTGAGGGAACTCAAAATATGAGAATGTGACTTTACAATAAGAATTATTTGGTGGTAATTGCAAAAATATTCTTTGTCCCTTAAGCTAATTCACTTTAAAATTTCTATGATGTGGTCAAATGACCTGGATTTGGAAGTGCCTGTTTCACTGGCTCAATGGACTGTTTTAGGGAAGGTAGTCACCCCTCCACATCTTAGTTTCTCTTCTATAAAATGGGAGATGTCTATTTCCTCCCTGGGCTTGGTACCAGGCTCAAATCAATTATGGAATGTATTTGGAAAAGAATACAAGGAGTATAATCGGGCCTCTGCTATTGAATCAGCTCCCCTTGCATGTGTTAAATATTACGATAAATTTATCACCCCCCCACCAACACACACACACACACACACACACACACACACACATACCGAGTTTCTTTTGGTGGAGCACTTTTATTTTGTGTGATTTATATATGTGTTGGTATGCAATATTAGACTCTGTGTTTGTGATCCCAGAATATGAAATTCAAACCTGGAAGTAAATTTATGTGACCCAAGTATAATATATTCCTTTAATGACATGAAATGGTCGTTGACTGCCTCTGGCTGGGCCTTCTCAGCGCAAAGTCTAAAAGATACTTTTCATCAACAGTCAGGAAAAAGCCTCCCAAGCCAGGAGCTTTCGTGCATTGCTACCATGGAAGGCAGGGTGGAAGAATCCCTAACCCTGTCCCATCTTCAGGCTCACCCAGCATCCAGAGATGTTTGCTTTTGTTATCTGGGTAGTCAAGAGCCTCAAAGATGTTATCGGAGACATTTTTGTAAGTTCAGTTGCTGTTCAGCATGTGTGAAACAACATCAGCCACCTCCTGTAATTTTCATGGAGTAGTTAGAAATCCTCAGGCTGAGCCCTTCAAAGGGAAACAAACCTGTGGCTCCTTTGGGGAGTGAGACCGGAGAAGGTGGGCCTTGCCTGCACCCTCTATCTAGCCTATCTAGATGGCTTCTAGTAGGGTAAGAGCAAAATGCCACCTCCACAGCTCTGAAAAGGCTGCACAAATGGCCAAGGCAGCAAATATTCTACATTTACATAGCACTTTCCAGAAACTCCATCCATTCTAGAACCCAGAGTATGGCAGACAGTGTCATCCCAAAGCCAGGACATAGGTCCCAAAGCAGGCATCTAATGATTGTGAGTCTGAAAATCTGTTGTTTCTAATCATCAAGTCTAAATGTGAATGCAAAAATCACCAAGAGAGTACATTTGCCACCTATGTTTTTCATTTTATTTTGAGGGGCCACATTTAGTATCCATTCATCCTGAAGGTCAGGTAATTGGGGCATTTATAAAACCTGTTGGGCTTCCATTGCATTTTGCATTCAGATTGGTGAAGGGGGAGAGCTAGGATTTATAACTTTTAGAGTATGTAAATTTTAGAACACAGCCATAAAAAGCTTTTTACACCCCTGGCATGTTAAAGGTTATCCAGTATATTTATGTGACCTAAGTGTAGCTTATTTAGTTTTATGGCCTTAGATATTTAAAGCATTATTAGGCATTTGTTAAATATTTCAAAATGCATTTTCAAGGGGGAAAATGTGTTGTGTTAGTGGCACTAATGTAATTGAAACTACAAAGCTGTTCTGTTCACAGACATAATAGATATTGCAATTTTAACTCAACATCTGCTGCACAGGTTGCTGGTGAGAACATTTGTCTAAAATCTGGTCATTTATACTGAGGAGGGGTGGCCATCAGTGCCTATGCCTAAGAAATTTTACGGAGATCTCCATTTCAGGATGTAGTAAAGCTAAGTGTCCAAGCAGCAGGCATTCTTCATGCTTGTACAGTGTCAGACAGCCCAGAATCCCTTAGGAACTGCACCACCTCCCTGCTCCATAGGTTGGAATGCCATTTCTCTGTGCACAGTGGGTATTCAGTAAATGCTATTGATCAAATTGGCATGAAGTGAAAAAGACCAGTATTTCCTCCTCCAAATCCCCACTGCAACAAAAGATTTAAGTAGCTCCTATATAAGGACACTTCAAAATGTTCGTGAAATAGTGGAATTAAAAGATAAGCTGAGTTTTGGTGCCATTTTAAAAAAATTCTTTCAGACAAAGGGTTTACAAAAGGTTCATGGAATATGTATGTGATGAAAAATTGAGACACAGATTTTAAAATGTTTTTGCACCAAAATATAATAATCTTTTATTCCTGCTTTCCACAAATTTTTTGAAGTTTTATTGTAGAGGTAGAGATAGGGTCCATACATTTCCTTTCAGATCATCATTTGTCATAGTAAATAAAAACCGTTGAGTATATATAATGTCAGCAAGGGAGGGGCCAGTTGCCTTAGCTTATAGAAATGACATATTGATTTTGAATCATTTCCAATCTATTAGATGATACTTCTAAATGTCTCCTTTGTGCAACATCTGTGTTCCCCCTTTTTTTTAACTAATAAAAGTGTGCTAATGATTCTTTCAGAAGTGTCGGACGAGGGTTTCCAGATTCCAGCCACAATCACAGAACGATATAAAGTTGGAAGGACAATAGGAGATGGGAATTTTGCTGTTGTCAAAGAATGTGTAGAAAGGTGAGAAAGATATTATTTGCATCAAACTTTAAAGGAAACACTTGGCATTGTGTTTTCCAAGACTGTCTGTATGTGTAGCCTGTGGCACATATGGAGTAAGTTAAAGTCTCAACCCCAGATGCAAAAAAAAAAAAAAGGAAGAAAGAAAGAAAGAAAAGAAAGCCTATCTAATAGCAGATTTGAAAAATGTAGTGATTTAAGGGTCTGATCTATAAACTAAGGACTTTGATTTCTTTTTTTATATACTTGGGGAAATTTTTCAGTTCTGCCAGGTAAGTCTTTTTTACTTTGAAAGCCGTATGGAACAGTGTTTCACATACCCTTTTGAGATATATTTTATAGAAGTTGGAACATTCTTGTCCAGAGTTTATATCTCTAATATGTGCTAACATAAAACTAACTAGGACAATAACCTTGGAAGTCCTTAAAATGTTTACAGGGAGTATTTCAAAGTTTTTGTGAAGTGGAATTGAAAAATGTTTATTTTAGCACCAAAAATTTGGAAATCCTTACATAGTTTTTCATAATGCATATCTTTCATGAACTTTTTTGAAGAACGTTCCTATGTATGGTTTTCAAACTTTTACAACAAAATAAATGTATCTTTTAATTTCATTTTCGGTGAAATTTTAATGTTCCCTCATGTATAACACTCCCTCAAAAGTGGTGTTTAGTGTTTGATACAATAAAAATGTATTCAGATGAATGAACTAGCTGCTCTGTGGACCAAACGCAAGGGGTTAGACTGAGGGTTTATCTGTAGCCTTGTGTTAGCTGAGGAGAGGAGCTGGCAGTCAATAAATGGAGGATGCACTGATGTTTCCCCTTACTCCTTGCCTATCTTTGGAAACTGTTTCTCGAGCTAAGGTAATAGAGCCCTCATGAAACTAACTTCCCGCAGTGGATTTCCAGCATGCCAGTTGCATGAAGCTATTCTCAATGTGACAGCAACCCAATATAGCAGCTGCTCTTCATGGGCTAATACTTAGCAAGGCGTACATAGCAGCCCAAATCCCAAACCAATGCTTCTAACTAATCCAGGCCATTGTCTTTAATTAGGAGGCTTTCACAACACTCTGGCTTAGCAAAACCAAAACCAAATATTAACACCTATGCAACTAGGACACCAATTAAATCAGGAAAACCATTTCTAAGGTAACAGGTGGTTTATAGGCATATGTGTTTACATGATTTTATATCTCACTGCCATGTTCATGGATAGTAAATCCAATGCTTTTTAGCTTTATTTCCATTGTAGCTGATTGCCAGGCCCTTGCTCTATAGTGTATCTGGTTTATTTATCATCATCTGTTAAGTCTGACACAGTGGCCGTGTGCTATATCTCCCGGAAGGTCTCCAGATCTGAATGACATCTGAGCCCAACAGTACCAGTCTTCTTGGACTAGAGACTTCTCATTTCTCTATCCAGAATTAATTTTTCTTTCTACCCTGGATGGCATTCATGTTGTGTGAATTCATATCTTGGGTCTCATCATATGAGACTTCAGAGTCTAAACACCAGATTGCTCCAAAAAGTGTTAGTATTCAGCTCCTGCAGAATGAGGACATATGGCATGTGCCCCCTCTCCCTGGAGGTATCATGAAACATTCTTTTAATATTTTCCAGAGGTCCAAGAAAATAAAAGCGAACTGAAGGTGTTGTCAGTGGCACACATTGCTTGCGGGTACATTCTGCCATGTTTTAGAGAATGAATATGTATTAACAAGGGCAAGAATGTTCCTCCCCTATTAATAACATGCTGTCATGGCTGAGATTTCCCCCACAGTAGACATGGTAACAGCATCACACAGGCCTTTCTGTGGGTCCATGCCAGCATATTCCTTAATCGTGCAGTATGCCACTAGCAATTTCTGCCTGTGCCCCAGGAGAGGCTTCTCAGATGGTCTCTGTGGCTTCTAGGACATGCTAAAGAACTTAGTGCACTGTGACTTCAGCTGAGAGAGGCATGCCCTAATTTGAAACTGTTTCCTGGAGTATCTGAAGTCCCCAAAGCCTGCTCCAAGAATTGCAAAGTGTGAATGAGGAACTGAAGTGGGAGTAGAGGGCTAGCTATGCAGTTCCCCTCCTCTCTACCCTTTCTGGATCTGTGCGCACTAATTAGCCCCCACACTGAGGTTACAAGTGAGAGACGTGGTCATACATAGGGGCAGTGTCCCCCACACCTGCCAAGTCTCCTTCCTATCTACACTGTTTACATTTCAGATACATTTCATATCTACAAGTGTGCACTTAGTACATTTCAGTGATGTACTAAAATGCTCCATGCCAGTGCATGCCCAATCCCACCCTTATCTGGAAGTCTGAAGAAGGACAACAACACTGCTGACTCCAGCAGTGCAAAGCCACAAGATCAGACCCCACAAAAGCTGAGACTATAATTCTCAGGGACCTCAGGAACTGTGTACCTGGCAAAAGTTGAAGGTGTTTCCTTCAGTGCTGGGGCTCAATGCATCAAGGGGTAAAAATCTCTTGGTTAGGTGATAATTGTTCTTCCTTCTCTCATTCTTGAGGATCCTGCCTTTTATGCAGCCCTTGTTCCCATTCAAAATGAAGTTCTGCTACAGATATAGAGGACAAGATCTTTTGTAAGGACCCGATTCTGTGCTTTTAGCTGTTGCTTCCTATAGAAGAGGCTGGGTGTGGGCTTTACTAACCAGGTGTGCTGTTTACTAAGGCATGCTTGTTGCAGAGCAGTCTTCCAATCACTGCAAAGTCTTTCACCAGCCTGAAGTTTCCACACCTTGGCCAGCATGTGCAGCACTTGCTAGTAGGCCAACTCAGTTCTGGAGCACCACAGAACCTTACGAACAAAGGATGGCTGTGCAATTCAGTAAATTAATACTAGAGTCAAGCTACACTCAAGAAACTTTTTTGCCCATTCCACATTTTTTTTAATTCAAAAACCTTCAAAACATAGCTGATAACTGCACTAAAAAAAAAATCATGTACTAAGAGCACTCTTTGATAGCCATTTCCCCCTTGGAGAAGCATTCTATCCTGCTTCCTAGACAAGGGTCACAGAGTAGAACACTGGCTTGGACTGGGAGGTCTTTTGGTAAACAAGATAGGATTCTTCAAGCTGGATTCAGCACACACATAAAGTTAGGTTCAGTTCAAGTTTGTAATACCTAGAAGTTTCTCTCTAGTAGCTCCATCATTTACCTGGGGTCATTCTTAAGAGGAAGATGACCTTACAAACTGATTGCTTGCCAACAAAGAGAATACAGAGTTTTCTGTTGCTGCTTCATAGAGGGTTCCATAAAAGATCAAATATGTAATGTAGGGGAATAGACAAGAAAGCAGCCTTCTTTTCACCAACAATCCAGCCATCCAGAATTCTTCTGAATACACCAAACTGCAGGCTACCTAAGGACAAGCACTGGGCACTAATGACCCCAGAGGCCACATTAGGCCTGTGCTTCTAACTGCTCACTGAAGACCTCCCCAGGCCCAGCCGTTCTTCAGAGGTTGCCCTGTGTAGGGAGGCACATGCAGCACATAAGGTTTTATTTCTTACCAACTGTTTTCACTTAAAGCAAACACATCCATTTTGATTCTTAATCGTGTATGTTTAGTCCTAACACCTGTTTTCAAGCTCGTTTTCCAGACTAACTACTTTCCCATAAACATGTACTTCTAGTAATTAAGGATTTTATTAAGAGACTTTATAGTTCTGCCCTCAAGGAATCAAGAAAGAAAAGTTGTAATGCTCCTTGGTGATCCTCCATAGGGCTCACTGTTCAATGCAAAATACAGATGCATTTTGTATCTGGAGGACTTCATTCTATCCTGAAAGATCAGGACAGAGGCTGCTGGCTCAGCCTCCTGGAGCCAACAGACCACCTGCTCTCTGGGGATTTTGCCAATGTCTAGCCATTAAAGACCCTTCCTGAGTCCTCTCTATATGACTTTTCATCTGAGTAACTTAATGTCACTCATGCCAGGGAGAAAAGGAGAAAATGGCAAATATGGGGCATCAAAAATCTGAAAAACTGCTTCTTTTCCCTGCATGATCCCAACACACATGCCCATGGTGGAGGGAAATGTTGCTTTTCTTATTGAGCAGCACAAGCTCCGTGCTCACTCTCTGGCCCCACCTGGGGTGGCTGACAAGGATGGGCACAGTTGATGCCATAATCAGGATTTCTCTGCCACAGATGGAAATATTTTCACCTAAGAGGAAATCACTTGTGTTCTGAGATTTGTGTTATTGTAATTTCTGGGTGATTTATGAAAAGTGGAACCCAGAAACCCTTCAATTTACAGTTTTCCTCTTAAATGTGTTCACATTTGCAAGCAAACCCCTTGGAAGCCTTTTGAGAATGTGTAGAAGGATTCCGGGGTCTTATAGAATCCCGGGCTTCCTAGTGTGAGGAATTCCTATGTGTACAGTTTCACTTTTGGGCCTATGATTGCTGGCTCAGTTAATATTAAAAAACAAGCATCTGTCTTGGGGCAGGAAGTAACAGCTCCCATCCACTGATTCACTCCCCAATTTCCCACAATTGTTAGGGCTAGGCTAGGCTGAAGTCAGGATTTGGAATCTAAGTCCAGATCTCCCATTTAGATGGCAATGACCCAACTACTTAAGCCACAACCTGCTATTTCCCAGGTCTGCATTAACTGAAACTGGAGTGGGCCATGAAACCAGATAGTTTGATATGGAATGCAGGCATCTTAATTACTAGCCCAAATGCCTGTCCCACATTTCTAATTTTTAATGGTGACTTCTTTGTTCTAGCACTTCCAGAAGGCTTTATCTTCTCCCTCTGCCCTACTGCCTTGCTAATACCTGGTGTTTAGGGAGACTATGTGGTACTCAATCCAGCACCTGGCACGTGTCCTCATCTGGCGTGGCCTCAGTGCCCATCCAGGGCACATTCTTTGCTGACAGGTTTCTCGGGCTGCTAAACCCATTTTCTCAGGAAGCGAAGCCAACCTGCATTTCTTCGGTCTCCATACCTCTGCAGGAGGGCCACCGTGGGGCTGAAGGCTTCATCCTTTCCCATCAGAACTCCAATAATAGGGCTTCAAGGGCTAAATCATTCTGATTTCATGAACCTGGTATTGTCGTGGCAACTTAGTGCTTATGGAGTGTTTTCTGTACACAAGCCTCATGCAGGTACCAGCAAATGTATGGAGAGGCATTTTTAGAAGTAAAATACAAGGATGGTTTGCAAGTTGCCATTTTGAGTATCTGGATTATTAGTTTGTTTATAGACAAATCTTTTTCTCATTTTAAGATATGAGTAGGCATTTCTATTTAATTAACCATACTGAATTGTCCAAAGCTTTGATTCAAAATTCTTAACCTCATGCCTGTTGTATTCATTTGAATCTGCAAAACTGAGTTTTATTTGTAGGTTAAAACAAAAACAAACAGGATTCTCTCGGGTTTGTGCCAGAAATAAAAGGGCTAGACTTGTGAAGTAGTGGATTACTGTGACTTTTAAGTGTGCATTGTATCATCCCACAGTGACAGGTCCTATTATTGTGCACCACAGGCTGTATGTTAACACAAGGGAGATCATTTAAAAGTAATAACATGACCAAACTCGCTCTTCCACATCCGTCATCAAAAAAAGGACTAGAATATTTGGAACCCTCACAAACTGAAAGTTCTGATTTTAATGTTGTCATGTCAATGTGGGAAAGTGGATTTATTTTAATTGTCACCTCCATTTTTTTAAAATAAAATGAAATAGCCATAAGAAGCTCAAGGGATCTCAGAAAGCTAATAAGGTGATTTTTAATCCTTCCTGTATGTCTAAACACATACAGAAGTTTGAGAAATGGGAAATGGGATTGAAAGTGCAAGATTTTTTTTGGAATCCATTCATACCAGGGTACTTGTGAAGGTTCCTGGAAAATGCAAATTATGGAAAACTACATTTGGATTTCAGAATTGTTCTACTACAAAATAGACTTGTATTTCAATTATGCTTTTCCACAAACTTTAAAAGTATTTCATTTCTTTCTAAGGCAGAGTAATAGCAAGAGAAATAGAGATGGAAAGGGATCTTCCATCCATTGGTTCACTTCATAAATGGCGACCACTGCTTGGGCCAGTCCACTGGCAAAAGCCAGGGGCCTGGAATGCCGACAGGTCTCCCATGTGGATGACAGGGACCCAAGTAATTGAGCCATCCTCTGCTGCATTGCCAGCCTCATTATCAGAAAGCTAGATTGGAAGCAGAGTAGCTGGGAAGTGAATACACACTCCCATATGGGACACTAGCATTGCAGATGGCAGTTTAACTCACTGTGCCACAATACTGGTCCCTTCACAAATTTTTGAAGTCCCTGCATGTTATCCTTGAATCCCCCATGCCCTGCCCCAGAATTCACATGCAGGCTTTCCTACTGAAACACCATGCAAAGAGTATCATCTGTTTCTTGGAACATGTGAGGATTTAGTGTCCTGTGAGAGTCACTCAGATTATGTTCACAGCCACCTTTGGTGGTGGAGAACCCCAAGAGGGACTTGAGGCAAAGCTCCACAGAAACTGACATGTGCTTTACATCCCTGCTGCATCACTGCAGAGAGGAAGAAAGAGCATCTAGCAGGAGCAATAAGCAGAGTGGCAGCAACGGCGATGTTTTTATTACAAGCAATGGATGGCAACACAGACGGCTCAACATGTCCCTGAGCAGTCACACTGGCTGTCCTAACACTGGGTCAACCTATAAAAGTTACACAGTTCTCTCATTTTTTATTCGACAGAAAGAAAAAGGAAAATCTTTCACAAAATATTTACACCACAGTGCGAGACCTAGAGGGTAGAAAATGATAGCAAAATGACTCCATGGATCTGAAATCAAGTTTGTTTTTTGCTTACATTTTAAATGTTTCTCTTTGCAGGTCGACTGCTAGAGAGTATGCTCTGAAAATTATCAAGAAAAGCAAATGTCGAGGCAAAGTATGTATAGCATTTATTCCTGCGAAATACAATGTTGAAGTGGGTAGGAAGAAGCAAAAACTCAGCTTCGGAGCAGACGTAAATTCACCTAAGAGTTGTGCTTTGGTGAAACAGACTTGAAACATAGCTTTCATGGTAGTGTTCATGGAACAAAATTTAGTTGAAATTATTAATGTGGTTTCTTTTGTTCTTATCTATTTGCTTGTTCATTTAACTTTCTACCTTACTTTTTGTAACCTAAGTTTCTTGTCATTCTTCCATATGGAACTGTTGCTGTTGTGACCAGTATCATCTAAAAATCTGCAGGCCATTTAGGCAATCCCAGGCCATCTGAATATCAGATTATGAAAGATATCCATATTTCATTAACATAAACCACATGATTGTGTTACTTGACTAAGTTGCTTCTAAGTGTTGGGTACACTGATTGAGGTAACTTCTCCTTTGGACAGGAACACATGATCCAGAATGAAGTATCGATTTTAAGAAGAGTGAAGCATCCCAACATTGTTCTTCTGATTGAGGAGATGGATGTACCAACTGAACTGTATCTCGTCATGGAATTAGTAAAGGTGTGTATTTTGGAAGAGAAAGAAAACCTTTAGAAGGCACTATGCTTTCCTATATTCTAGAACTTTTCCCTCTATAATTAGCATCTCACTTCTATTCATTGGAACAAGTCAGAACATTAATAGTAGAATCAGATGAAAGCATTCAAGTTCCAGCCTTGATGAAGATAGCCCCGGGACTTTGAAGATATATCTTTATGCCTTAGCTCTCTCATATGCAAAATGAAAGTTATGTATGTAGAACTTACTTACTTAGAGTATTTTATGGGGATGAAGAGGGATAGCTTTCAGCAGACTGACACAAAATGTCAAGTACCACATGGTTTTGTTGTTGTTATGGAAGCTTTTTGCTTTTCCATGAACTAGTGTAGCTGCATGAAGTACTTAAACCATTTTGTAGAAGCAGGTTTTATACTTTGAGTTACCAACATCATAGAAAAACAAGTCTTAATGTTCATGTGACTAGTGTTATAGTCCCATCCTGTAACACAAAAATCACATTTCTCCCCTGTGAAAGCTAAGAATATGGAAAAAGCCAGGTGTTGATAGTGGTTAAATACATGCTTCCTGCTTCTATACATTTGAAATTTTCAGTAGTTAGACATTTTTAATTGATTAGTTTCCTTTCCATGGTTAACTTTTCCTCAGTGCTCTGTTCATCTGAATCATGGCAGTCATCTCCACTTCGGTTTTACAGCTATGTCAGTTCGTTGCATCACTTTCTGCATCAGGTGTATGCCTGATCAGTGTGGGCCATAGTCTCCAGGGGCCTGGTTTAGGATTACTCACCTGAGCTAGTGGCTGTAGAAATCAGGATTTTCTAAGATTGAAGACAAAGAAAACATGGAACAAATTAGTGCTGTACATAGAGAAGTGTTCATTCTCTGACCTTTAAGCTTCATGATTCAGAGTTGATTCACTTTAAACAGGGTTTCATATGATGATTCTTTAGATTTATAAGTCAAATCTATTTGTTTGCTCTTTCAGATTAGCCACCAAAAGGAAATAATACTGCTGATTACTTTCCATTAGTAATACAGAGTTACACAAGGGGACACCCAGTCGGCATACGTCATGTTTGAGGCCAAGGAGGGTGAAAGTGCCTAACTATGTTTTCCAAGGAAGAAAGGTTGATTTTATTCAGAAGATTTTTATACCAGTACTTTATTATCAAATTACTTTATTTGCCAGCTTGGTAGATTCTACTTTCTTAAACACCAAGGATAGCATTTTTACAATGACTTTTCGTTTTTAAGCCAACAACTTTAGACTAATCTCGTTGTTCCTTTTTGTGCTGTTAAAAATTGATTAGCAGAGCCTCTGTAATTATTGATTAGCTCTTTGATAGTAGCTGGTTTGGGGAAAGATGAAACAAGATTAAATTTGAAGATGAGAAATAGAAGAGACAAATACTCAAGTGTTCAGTGCACATTTTGTGGGAAATCGTGGACTGATTGTCAGTCATACACCTTGTTTTTCCTGTACTTAACAGATTTGTGAATTCTCTCTCATCATCAAAACTTTCTATCAAAGACAGGAAAGATCTCTATGAGAGTCTTTAGAAAGTTCATGTAAAAGTAAAATTAACAGGTTTATTTTGGTACCAAAAAATTTGGAAACATGTACAGTTTTTTCATAAAGCACATTTTCCATGAACTTTTTGAAGACTCCCCATGGAAGCAAGCATGTGGCTCCTCAGTTATGTCACTAGATTCGTACCAGAATTACTCTGGCTCAAGACTGCCTCGAGACCAGATCTAGAGGCTTCCCAAGCTGGAATTGAAAGGCTCCCCTTGTGTCCTCTGAAAAGTTTAGGTAGGGTGTGAGTCTAAGACCCTAAGGGGTCCAAGAATGTTTGAAGCTCAGGGACAGACAAGACACATGTACTGGGAAGCTGTGAAGTCACAATTATTATTGAGATTCTTTAACTATTAGTGCCCAACACTGCTGCCTGCACAGACTACCTGTGAGCTCAGAAGCAGGTGAGGAAGGAGATGGCTCTGCTGCCTGCCACTCAGGATCAATAAGACTTAGAAAAGCAAGGAGTGGAACAGGGAATGTTCTGGGAAGAATTTGGAGCACAGAGCTCTAGAGCTATTTTGACAATCAGGAAGAAGATATCATACCCAGAGCATAAAGAACTGTCATGAGAATTGAGACAGAATTGAACAACTTGGATTAAAGGTTGGGGCAAAAAAGAGAGACCCAGTTCCTTTCAGAGATGGAATAACCTTTCCCCCGCCAAGGGCCATTTGTATATTTCTAAGATTATTTGTGGACCATACAAAACGATGGACTTAGAAGTTAGATTTATTGAACTTTGAGTGCTGTCTGTGGTTACCCTGGCAGGGCTAGACCAAAAGAAGAGTCATATATGGCCAGCAGGCCACATATTTCCCACTCCTGCTAAATCCTTGGAAAGGAATAGTGATTTCTTGAAGAAAGGAAGGAAATAGCAACTCATCAACATTACATATAGAAGGCTGATGAGTCAGTGTGTGGGACCCTATTGATAAAGGACCTGTGTGGCGAAGCAGTAGATAAGGAGGCCCCTTAGCAGAGACCCAGGGGTGATATGAGAAAAAGATATGGGGTAGGGTAGCCAAGAACAATGTGCATGAGAAATGATTTAGAGGCAGGATGGAAAGAATTTGTTGCAGCTTTGATGAGGATAAAAAAGAAAGGCGATGTCCAGGTACCTGCAGCTTGAACGATGAGGACAGTCAGGGAGTGTTTGCAGGGTGTCCATCCAGCCACACACAACTTCATGTTGTGGTGCTACAGGGCACTGGTCACACAGACCATAGTGAATATCCTACCTCCCCAAGAGACACAGTAGCAACTTATAAACCCTTGTGTAAGTCTGGCCTTTGAGAGAAACTGGAACTTGAGAGGGACAGGATTTGTTTCAGGGACAGGTGTGTGTGTGTGTGTGTGCGTGCATACGCACACATGCTTAATTTAAGAGCTGCTGAGACTTAATGACAGTGAGAGAAGCCACCAGAATGGAGATTATCCTGGAGCAGAAGGTGCTGGCTGGATAGCGAGATCTGACAATTAGCCTACAAGGGCTGTATTTTGCTTGTGCTATTTTAAGAAGAAAAATTAAATCCCTTACAAGTGTAGGTAAGAGATGTGCACAACTGAGTGGTAGGTTCAGCAGTTTGGTGTATTTATTCATGAATAATATGATCCTTGTTAGTAAATCAGACCCAGATAGTCTAAAAAGGCTTCACATACATGGAACTTACATTGAAACCTAAAACCATTCTTTTGTAACAAACAGCAGTGCATTAGAGAACAGCTAGGGACACAAAGTTCAATGAATGATAGTCCTAGAAAACTCTCTTTGAAACTTCTCCACCTGCCCTCCTTCTCATCCTCTCCCTTCTTTGGAATGACAGTTCCTGGTTCTTTCCTCTGTTCCTTACAAAGGAGCACCTTATTGAAAGAGAAAACACTACGCCCACTCCTGGAGAGCTTAATAGAGAGAATGAAGGGAACTTATGTGTGTGTGTGTCTTTGTGTGAGTGTGTATCTTAATAATTTCATAAGGCAACAGAACATTTTAAGTGTGCAGTTTGCAATATTACCTGATTCTCACTGGGGGAGGTTTAAGATGATGGATTTGAACTTCAGCTGACAGTTGGTGTGTGGCAGGTGGCACATGCCACCAGGATACCCACGTGTCACAAGGCTTCTGGGCTGGAGCCCTTCTCCCTGGGCAGGTGACTGTGGAAATGGCCGTGTGCCTAGTGTTAGGGAATCCTCCTAGGCACTTATGAGGTCTGGAAGATATGTGTCTGGCTTTCGCAGTTGGGGGAGAAATCACCACATGTGCTTCAGAGGCAGGTGGCAGGGAAAGTGCGCCGGAACTGGGAGACCTGTGTCCACGCTTCATGCCTTAGAATTTGTGAGTCACCTACAGAGGCAGCTCTGTGGGTCCATCTGCTAAGACACTGCTCTGCCTGCTGTTCTCTTCCCAGGGCGGAGATCTTTTTGATGCCATCACTTCCACTAACAAATACACTGAGCGAGATGCCAGCGGGATGCTCTACAACCTGGCCAGTGCCATCAAATACCTGCACAGCCTGAACATCGTCCACCGTGACATCAAGCCAGAGAACCTGCTGGTAAGTGCAGTTCCATATTCAGGGTGTCCTGCACCCCAAGAACTCAAGAGTGAACGTGAATGATTCTTTCTCTTTTTTTCTGTTCTTCTTTCTTTTAAAAATTTCACCGCTAGTGCTGATTACTACCTAGCCTCCAGTGTCTGGCTGAAAACTGACCTTTTAAGTTGAGCTATAAGAGTTAATGTATCTTTAAGAACACTTGAATTATTAGCAAATAAAATTAGCAAATAAAATCTAGGCATGGAGCAGGCTTGTGGCTCATCTTGTTGAGCTGCCACCTATATCACACGCATTCCTTGTGGGTGCCCACTGGAGTCCTGGATGTCCCACTCGGATCCAGTTCCTTGAGTTCCTTGCTAATGCACCTGAGAGTGCAGCAAAGGATGGCCTAAGTGCTTGGGATCCTGCACCTGTGTGGGAGATCTGGGTGCAGTGAAGACTCCTGCCTTTGGCCTGCTTCGGCTCCTGCTGTTGCAACCGCTGGGCTAAGTGAATCAGTGGGTAGAAGATCTCTCTCTCTCTCTTTATTTTTGTAACTGCCTTCCAAATAAATAAATAAGTACGTAAAGCTGTATTCCAGTGCTGGGGTGGGACTAGAGCTCAGAAAGGAAAACTGTTTAACGCTAGTGCTTTTATGATAGAAAAATATATGTATATATATATACATATATACATATGTATGTATGTATATGGTTTATTTAATTTTTTCAAAGAGAAAATAGAGCAAGAGGGAGAATCATCTATCCACTAGTTCACTCCCCAAAGGGCCACAGAGGCTAGGGATGGGACAAATGTAAGCCAGGAGTCTAGAACTCCATCTGGGTTTCCCACATGTTTTCAGAGCCACAAGCACTTGGGCCATATTTCTCTGCTTTCCCATGTACTTTGGTAGGGAGACAGATTAGAAGAAAAGCAGTCAGAGCTCAAACAGTTACTCACATGGAATACCAGCATCACAGGCAGTGACTCAGCTTGCTATGCCACAGCACCAGTCCCTGAAAATTTTTACTTAGAAAAATAAAGAAAGCCCTTTTGTCTTATTTTCCCATCTTTCCTCAACAATAGTGATTTAAAATTTAAAATGAACAAACAAAAACACCTGTTTTTCAAGATTTACTTATTTATTTGGTTATAAAAAGAGAAAGAGAAAGATGTCTTCCATCCACTGGGTCATTCACCACATGGTTGCACCAGCCAGTGCTGCGTCCATCTGAAGCGAGGAGCTTCTTCCTGGTCTCCCACCTGAGTACATTGTCCCAAACATGTAGGCCATCCCACTAACCCCAGGGAATAAAATTAACTATGAAGAAGATGGCCGTGAAAAAGCAGACACATCCTCTCTTTATGACTGTTTGGTTTGCTTTCCAGGAACTCCACATCTCCAGGAAAGTATTGGGAGTTTCCCATGCAAGCAAACAAGGGTGTCTTCCTAGCCTGGTTATTAAAGGGGATGGTGTACAAAGATGTGGGCAGGCTGAGACCAGCCACAAGGAGTTGGCACTGGGAACCGCTGGAGAACATACATGTGACTGGCTCTTCAGGCTGAAATTCTTACAAAATAGATTTCATTCCTGTACACATAAGCACATATCTTTCCAAAAATTCATAAAAATGGAATTAAGGATGAATTATTTGGATGTAAAAATACAGTTGAGTTTGTATTTGAGGATTTCACAGAAAGTTTATATAAAATGCATACTGCAAAAAATGCATAAATTTCACAAAGCACCAAATAAACTTGCCTTGAAATTATTCCATTTTCCCACAAACTTCTGGAGGTCCCTATGTTTTTCTGGTCCTGAAGAAGCTGGATTTGCATTTACTTTTGTTACCGCAGTTGGGCATCCTGTGTAATCTGTGATTTCTCTGGGTTTGCTCCATCTCCTTGAGTGCTGGGAATTGAGGATTCTCTTTCAAAAGCAGAGCTTCTCCAGGGGTGGTCCAAAGACTCCCTACATCAGAATTAGTCCCAGATGCCTGCTAAAAATGCAAATTTCTGGGATTCAGTGCATCTCAGCCAAATCGAAATCTGGTGCCTGGTGACAGGGTCCAGGGGCATGCATTACAACCAGCTCCCCAAGGTAATCTGAAGGCACGTTCAAGTTTAAAAACCAATAAGCAAATGGACTCCCGTGACACCCATAAATGCTAACAAGATCTGCTAGAATAGAGAACTACCTCCTCCTTGTGCTAAGGATTAAACAGGTACCCTTGACCTTGTGCTAAGACCATTACAATCATTATCTCGCTTAATCTTCACAACAGCCACAAGGCCTAAACTCGACTACCTTCCCATTTCCCAGATAAGGGCATTAGTTACCTAAAACTTTCAGTGACCTACCCAAGGTTGTTCACAGCTCTTAAGTAGAAGAACCAAAACTCAACCTAGTTCAGCCCTACTGGAAAGCCAAACTCCTACCTCCAGAATGTAGTGAACTAGAAATTAAGGTGGTGAAGTGAACTGAGAACTTGCTAGGAGCCAGACACTCAGCCAGGAAGCAAGAGAGACATTCCTTCATGGAGCTGAGATTGAAGCAGGAAAAGCAGGCATTTAAGAAATAAATACACACACAATTAGCTAATTGCAGTAATGTTGGTAATCTTGTGGCCACTGGCTAATGAAGGCAGCTGGGGTCAAATGACAGAGCTCTGATTTAATTGCACCTCAAATTCCACATTTCTGCAGTAGCCTAAACATTCTCTTCTGCACAGTTGCCCCCTCAACTGCGCCAATTTTCTCTCTGTCTGCATTCATTATTCTGTGTCCTGAATTATGTAGGACTGTCTCCTGGGAGCAGCCTCACAACTGGGCCTTTGTTTAAAAACTTTGCTAAGCTCCAAAAAAGTCAGTAATTGAAAATTAAAGTTTCATTTCCCTCCCCATTTTCCCTTCACTTCAGTTTTATGTACCTATTGTTCATTTGTTTCGCCCCAGAACTTTATCTATTTCTGGAAATGCCATAAATGATTACATCGCCCTGTACTTTCACAAAAATTACCATTTTCGGGATACCTTTTAACTGCTGTAATCATCTGAATCTATCTTGCTTGAAATTACACGAAAAGGAAAAGTTCTCTCCATGTCCCTTTCTTTCTAGTTTAAAAATCTGAAATGCATTAACCCTTGCAGATTAATATAAGCTTAAAATATCTGTATGAGAAACTAAAGTGTTGCCATTTTCTGTTAAATTCTTACCCTGGTGAATGTTGCCAGTATCAATCCATTCTAAAAGGAAAGAGTAGAATAAAACAGATTAAATTTACAGAAAGTGATGGAGTCGCTGTTTTCATGTGAGACTTCTCAAGTTCACATTCTGTTGAGCATCCTATGGACATAAGGCAGAACCATCATGGGAGATGATTTATGGGCAGATGGACAAAAGTTCAAAACCAAGTGCTTTATTTTTCCATGGGCTGTTGTGACCTTGAACAAGTTATTTAATTCCTTCAAGCCTCTGCTAAGGAGATGTTATGAAGATAAAGAGATAACACATAACCACTAGTCCCCATTCTTTTCATTTTCATTATTTGTGCTATGAATTGAATTAGACCTAAAAATAAAACTGCTTCATAATAACATTTTATGTAGCCAAAATCATTTTTCGTTTTTTGTATTACTTTAAAATTTTTACTATTAATCATGTCTGAATTTGCTAAATTCGACAAAATGTAGAGCTATGAAAGAAGCCCCAAAAAATGCCAAGATAAAGTATATATACCAATTTTTAGCCCTTTTGCTCACTACTGGAAAATTTACCAAATAAATAAAAAAGCCTCAGTAAACATTTTGCTTGTCTGTTTTTATCAGGAGACCTCAAAAAAATCCTGCCTTTAAATTGCTAACAAGTTATTTGTGAGTTAAGTGTTTGAATAAACAGCAAAGAGTTTATTTTTAATAAGCATCTAATTTGCCTATAGGATGCAGTGTAATTGTGACAAGGAAATTTTAACATTTTTAGCTATAATGCTTATAGGATAATATGAAAATATAGTTAGACCTTAAGGATCTGTAGTGATCATGTGATTTAACTCTGTATGTTTGCTGAAGTCAAAATAATTTAATGAGAAAATATGATTTGACTTATAGTGATTTTTCTGGTCATCTTTAGGTGAAAATGAGGAACCTGTCCAATAAGTACACCACTTATGAGTGTTTTATGGCAGCATTACTTAAATTTTCCCTCCAAGTTAATCATGACACTGATTCCATGTGGCTGTTTGTTTCCCTCTTGGTTAGACATGGAGCTTCATAGTTGTGGGTGAGATGAACCAGTGAGTGAACGTGATGCTTCCTCACAACGTGGAGTGCAAACTCAAGCCATTTCCCTACCTATCTATATTACAGGGGGACTCAGTGGCCTCAATCGGAACTCTCCTGAGCAGAGAAAAGGACAATGCTTTCTCTCCCCCACTCAATGGGAGTCAGCGATGCATTGGACTTGTGTGTGTGTGTGTGTGTGTGTGTGTGTGTGTGTGTGTACACCAGGAAAGTCTATGCCTAAAGCAACTTTGTGAAACAAAAGCTGATTTAATGTCATCACTGTACCAGAATCACCACTAGATGGCAAGCGTGTGCCCCCTTGGCCACAAGAATCATTAGTACTAGCTTGTGTTTTTTTTTTTTTTGGCAAAGAGCTGGGTGCATCTTTAAAATCCTAAAGCCAAATAATACCTCCTTTAAAAATTGAAGTCTTAAATGGCAAAAACGTACTGATGTCATTGGTTTTTATTAGATTTCCAAAAGGAAAAGAGCCATTTTCTTCAAATATAAAACTTTATATTTAACAATCCTTTCCTTGCCAAATTCCCCAATATTCTTCTAAGGAAAGCTTCCCAGAGACTTTGCTTCTTGTGGTCAGAATTCTCTGTTAGAAAGCCTTGCCCAGGAGTTCCTGCCTGCTCCTAGTTGCCTGTCAAATGACCTTTGTGACCTTCAGTCTCACTCAAGGAGTGCTACCCAGCTATCAGCATTCCTATTTCAACCATGCAGTGATGACCAA